TCAGAGGAGCAGGAAAGCTGATGTTTCAGGTCTGGACTCTTCTTCAGAAATTTTCATGAAATTTTCTGAAGAAGGGTCCAGACCGAAACGTCAGCCTTCCTGCTCCTATGATGCTGCTTGGCCTGCTGTGTTCATCCAGCTCTACACCTTGTTATCTCAGATTCTCCAGCATCGGCAGTTCCTACTATCTCTGGATCAGTAGCTTATTGCATGCTGGCGACTAAATACAAGTTATGCTGACATCATAGACATCGCACATGGATCTGGATGGTAGATCTTATTCCTTCAATATCCTAACCTGCACTCCCACCAGGTCCGTATGACAGCTCATCATTGTTGGGCTATTCCTCAATATTCTCCCTTTCAGACCTTACACCCTCGTATAACAGTTAAACAAAAGGTGTTAAACATTAAATGTTGAACTGATATTGAGATGAAAGGATATAAAATAAATTAAAAACAGTTTAGAGATATAGAGAAGTTCTGAATGGTTTAGTCCAACATGATTCCCACTATGTGGAGAGGCAATGCCTAGTGGCATTATTAATTCTGAGACTCAAGTAATGTTAAAGGGAACCCAGGTTCAAATCCCACTGTGACAGTTGGTTAAAATTCAAGTTCAATACAAATCTGGAATTAAGAGTCTAAAGATTACCATTAAACCATTTCTGATTATCAGGAAAAACCCATCTGGTTCACTAATGCTCTTTAGGGAAGGAGACTGTCATCCTTACCTACATGTCTGGCCTACATGTGACTCCAAACCCACAGCAATATGGTCGACTCTGGGGCAATTAGGGATGGGCAATATCAAGATGATGGCAGCAGAGTAGGCAGCGTACGGGCTCCTGTGCCTAGCCTTGACCCTTCGTCTGCATTTTTTTTTGTTTCTTTTTCCTTCTAGCCCTTCTTTTTTCTCAAACTTACCCGATGAAGAGAGCTCTTTGGCAGGAAGCGGCTTCGATGGGCTCTGGAGCAGCAGTGGCGTCTTCAGAGGCAGCACGGCTACAAAGTCATTCGATTGGCCTGAGAAGCCTGGAGCGGGACGCTTGCTTCTGCGTAGAGTGGGCCCCTGGTGGCAGCATGGCGTGGGCTAGGAAGCTCAGAGCAGGATTCTGGTGGCAGCATGGCTTGGGTTGGGAAGGTAATGTGAATGGAATCTATGTATAGCTGACGATATACACTTTTCACTGTATTTTCATATTGAATACACATGACAATAAAGGATATTCTATTCTATTCAATAACTGCTGCTTCGCCAGCGACACCTAATTCTCATGAATAAAAGAATGCCACGACTGAATGACCCCGCATGGTCAGAAATCATTATCTTTGGCCATAAATGCAAGTGTGAAAGTTAGGATATTGAACTTAATATATCATCGGAGATCTACAAATGCCCAAGTATTGCTCCTCATGTTAGTGTTGAATTAGGACAGTATTAAAGACTGTGGAACAGTAACCGCAATGGGAATAACTTGCATTAGGGCATGATCTTACTACTGAAAGTCATAGAGTAGTACGACAAGGAATGAGACCATGCAACCCATTGTGCCAATGCCAGTTATTGAGCACTTGTCGAGTCCAGTCCCATTTTCCAGGACTTTATGCCATGTAGTGCTTCAGGTGACTGACTAAATACTTGTGAAATATTGTATGGCCACCTCTACCAAGCTTTTAGGCATCGAATTGCAGACATCAGTGCAAGAAAAACTCTTTTAAATTCTTTGAAGGGGCTTCACAGTGGTTTTCTGATGTCCTTAATTTTAAAAGTGTCCCTCTGGTTACTGACACTTCAACTGCAGTGAAAAGTTTACTTCTATGGACATCACAATTTTGTAAACCTTAACCAGGCTTCATCTTTGCCTTCTTTCAATTGTGGTTAGAAAATGCAAACTAATTGTTTTTCTCTATACGAATGCTTCCTCTCTATTCTCTGTATGGGAACACAGGGACGCCATGTTAAGTGTGTCAGTACGCGCGGCGGCGCGGGACGCCATGTTGTGTGTGTCAGTGCGTGCGGCGGCGCGGGACGCCATGTTGTGTGTGTCAGTGCGTGCAGCGGCGCGGGACGCCATGTTGTGTGTGTCAGTGCGTGCGGCTGCGCAGTGTGCGGTTGGCCCTGACGGTCGGAGCGATGCCCGAGGACTGGGACAAGGACGTTTACCGGCAACCGGACAGCCGCACCCCGGAGGTGGACAAGAAGACCGCACTGCCCAACCCGGCGGTCATTGTCAGCAAATTGTTCTACTACACGGTAGATTTGCCGGTTACAACCTTCAGAGGTGAGGGAGGGAGAGAGAGAGTGAGGAGGAGGAGTGGGGGGAGTGGGAGTGATGGGGGAGGGGAGGACGGGTATAGGAGGGGAGCAGGCGGCTGAGTGAGAGGGGAGGCAAGGGCTGTGCAGGGAAGGGTTGGAGAGACTCAGCCTCTGCACTTCAAGGTTGGCTCAGGGCTGAATGACCTTCAGCTCCCAGACAGCAAACCACAGGGAGCGCTTCTGTACGAAGCAGTGAGAGTTTGGACCAGAGCACAGGAGGTCACTCTCCATCTGCTGCGGTGGTACAGGCCAGAAGTTCCATCAATATTCACATCAGTTCTTATCTTTCTCGTACAGCAGGTGATGCTGTTCTGGTTTAGGATTTTTGTTAATGACTACACACAATTAACATCAACCCTCCAACTCCCAAACATTCTTTCAAACAGATCTGAAGAAGGGTCTCGACCTGAAACGTCAGCTTTCCTGCTCCTCTGATGCTGCTTGGCCAGCTGTGTTCATCCAGTTCTACATCTTGTTATCTCAGAGAAGGTTATTGCTGGAGCAACAAAGGACCATGCTTAATCACTATACCACATCCTAATTGTCACAGGATGGAGTTACTGACAAGCATAGCAATCAATGTCTTGTCTAGTTTGATATGTTTTAGACATGACATGAGGAAAATTTCTGGCTTGTTGAGAGCGTGAACATCCTCTGTTACCACAGCTTTTCATGTTTGTGTCTGCCTGTCTCTGAGTTAGCCTTTGAGTTGTACTAAGACTGCCTTGGCTGTAGCCCATGGTTTTATCTGCAGTCATGATTGGGAGAATCAGATTGAGCGTGACGACTCAATGGGTAAGGCAAAACTAAAGAGGAAAGATGCTTCACCTCTCTCTGGATCCCCTGTACACTTCCCCCAACCCCTCTTCAGTATCAGGACTGGATTAAACTTTCATGGGATCAACTATTTGCTGTTCAGCTTAATCTATCACCTTGCTGTGAGTGGACATTCTGCACATGGTACAGTTGCTGATGGAAACGTTATCTGTATGCTGGCTAATTTGACATTACACATGAGTCAAATGCAGGCAAATGGGACAAGTTTTGTTTATCATTTATTCATTTTATGGGATGCGGGCATCACTGGCTGTCCAGCATTTATTACCCATCCCTAGTTGCCCTTAAGGTGGTAAGTTGCATTCTCAAACCACTGCAGTCCACCTGATTTGAGTTGACCCACAACGCCATTAGGGAGGGAATTCCACGATTTTGCCCAACAACCCTGAAGGAACAGCGATATATTTTCAAGTAAGGATGGTGAGTAGCTTGGAGGGGAGTTTGAAGGTGGTGGTGTTGTTTCCATATATCTGCTGCCCTTGTCCTTGTAGATCGAAGTGGCCATGGGTTTGGAAGGTGCTGTCTGAGGATCTTTGACTTTCTGCATTGAATCTTATAGATAGTACACACTGGTGCTACTGAGCATCAGTGGTGGAGGGAGTGGATGTAGTGCCAGTCAAGCGGGCTGCTTTGTCCTGGATCTTGTCAAGCTTCTTAAGTGTTGCTGGTGTTGCACTCATCCAGGCAAGTGGGGAGTATTCCATCACACTCCTGATTTATGCCTTGTAGATGGTGGATAAGGAGTCAGGAGGTGAGTTCCTCACTGCAGTATTCCCAAGCTCTGACCTGCTGTTGAAGTCGCTATGTTTATGTTGTGAGTCCAGTTGAATTTCTGGTCAATGATAACCCCCAAGATGTTGATAGTGGGGATTCAGTGATGGTGACACCATTGAATGTCAAGGGACAGTGGTTAGATTGTCTCTTATTAGGGACGGTCATAGCCTGGTATTTGTGTGGCATGAATGTTGCAATCATTGGCGAACATCTACACTTCTTATGGTGAAGGGAAGGTCATTGATGAAGCAGCTGAAGATGGTTGGGTCTAGGACACTACTCTGAGGAACTCCTGGAGCTGAGATGAATGACCTCCAACAGCCACAACTGTCTTCCTATGTGTCAGGTATGACTCCAACCACTGGAGAATTTGCCCCCGATACCCACTGATTTCAGTTTTGTCAGGGCTTCTTGATGCCATACTCTGTCGAATGCAGCCTTCATGCCAAGATGTGTCATTCCATCTCACCTCTGCAGTTCAGCTCTTTTGTCCATGTTTGAACCAAGGCTGTAATGAGGTCAGGAGCTGAGTGGCCCTGGGTGTCACTGAGCAGGTTATTGCTGAGCAGGTGCTGCTTGATAGCACTGTTGATGACACCTTCCATCACTTTACTGATGATTGAGAATAGACTGATGAGGCTAATTGGCTGGGTTGGTTGTCCTGCTTTTTATGTATAGGACCTATCTGGGCAATTTTCCACATTGCTGCCAGTGTTGGGTGCAGGTACAGCTTGGCTAGGGGCACGGCACGTTCTGGAGCACAAGTCTTCAGTACTATTGCCAGAATGTTGTCTGGGCCTGTAGCCTTTGCAGTATCCAGCGTCTCCAACTGTTTCTTGATATCACGTGGAGTGATTCGAATTGGCTGAAGACTGGTATCTGTGATGCTGGGGACCACTGGAGGAGGCCGTGACGGATCATCCACTCGGCACTTCCGGTTGAAGATTGCTGCAAATACTTCAGCCTTATCTTTTACACTGATGTGCTGGGCTCTTCCATCATTGAGGATGAGGATATTTGTGGAGCCTCCTTCTCCAGTGAGTTGTATAATTGTCCACCATCATTCACAACTGGATGTGGCAGGACTGCAGAGCTTAGACCTGAACGTTGGCTTTGGGATTGCTTAGCTCTGTCTATCACTTGCTGCTTTCGCTGTTTGGTATGCCCTCCTGCACTGTCTATTGAATGATCACCTGGCTTGATGGTAATGGTTGAAAGGGGGATATGCCAGGCCATGAGGTTACAGTTTATGCTGGAGTACAGTTCTGCTGCTATTGATGGCTCACAGTGCCTCGTGAATGCCCATTCTTGTTGCTAGATCTGTTTGAAATCTGTCCCGTTTAGCACAGTGATAGTGCCACACAATATGATGGAGGTTATTTTCACTGTGAAGGTGGAGCTTCGTCTCCACAAGGACTGTGCGGTGATCGTTCTTATTGATACTGTCATGGACAGATGCATCTGCATCTGGCAGATTGGTAAGGATGAGGTCACAAGTTGTTCCCTCAACACCTGCCACAGACCCAGTCTAGCAGCTGTGTCCTTTAGGACCCAACCAGCTCGATCAGTAGTACTGCTACTGAGCCACTCTTGTTTGTGGGCATTGAAATCCCCCACCCAGAGTACATTTTGTGCCCTTGCCATCCTCAGTGCCTCCTCTAAGTGTTGTTCAACATTGAGGAGTACTGATTCATCAGCTGAGGGAGGACCGTACGTGGTAATCAGGAGGTTTCCTTGCCCTTGCTTAACCTGAAGCCACGAGATTTCATGGGGTCTGGAGCAATGTTGAGGACTCCCAGAGCTACTCCCTTCTAAGTGTATACCACTGTGCTGCCACCTCTGCTGGCTCTGTCCTTTTGGTGGGACAGGACACATCCAGGGATGGTGTAGGTAGTGTCTGGGGCATTGCCTGTATGGTATGATTTTGTGAGTATGACTGTGTCAGGCTTTTGCTTTACTAGTCTGAGAAAGCTCTCCCGATTTTGGCACTGGCCCCCAGATGTTAGTAGGGAGGATTTTGCCATTGTCTTTTCTGGTGCCTAGGTTGATGTCAGGTGATCTGTCCAGTTTCTCCTCTTTTAGACTTTGTAGCAATTGTAGCAATACAACTGAATGGCATGCTAGGGCAGTCAAGAGTCAATCACATTGCTGTGGGTTTGGAGTCATATATAGGCCAGACCAGGCGAGTGTGGCAGATTTCCATCCCTGAAGGACATTAGTGGACCAGATGGTCTGATAATCGGCAATGATTTTGTGGTCACCAGTAGATTCTTAATTCCAGATTTTGTTTTTGTTGAACTCAAATTCCGCTATCCCGTGGCAGGTTTCTAACCCGGGTCCCCATAATATTAGCTGAGTTTCTGGATTAATAGTCCAGTGATAATGCCACTAGGCCATCACCTTCCCAGTTCAGTTTAGGATACAGGGTCAGCATGGATGAGTTGGATCGAAGGGTATGTTTCCGTGCTGTGTGACTCCGTGACCATAACTCTATGATTCAATGCCAAGTGGGAACAGTGCGGTTTAATCTGTTTAATTAAGAACCTTTTACAAAGTGATGCATTATTTAGCTGAATCTTAGATTGTGGGACAAACAAACAATAATTGATGATAAAATAGTGTCTTGGATCTGTAATAGTACAAGCATCTTGTTTTGACACTTCTTGAATTAATGATGACCATAAATTTATTCTGTGAAATTGTTTTTTTTAAAATCCTTTTACAGATTGGGTGGAACGCCAGCGAGAAAAGAACAAATTCTATTACTACCACCAACATTTCAGACGAGTGCCAGATTTGACTGAGTGCACTTTGGGTGATTTCCTCTGCTACTATGAGGCAGAGATGCAATGGAGAAGAGATTAGTATGTACCTGATTACAAATTTTAAATTTCTGTTCAATGAGATTCTGCAAGTGGTATTTTACTGGTAATGTACATGTGATTTTTTTTTTGTGTGAGATGGAGATAAAGATGCATAATTATTAAAGACACTCTCCAGTTACACTGCAGTTACATTCACCTGTTGCACCCATTTCCTCAAAGGTCCCTTCTAAGCCATGCACCATCCTGATCTGGAACTCTATCACCATACCTTCACAGTGACTGGGGTCAATATTCCTGAACTCCCTTTTTAACAGCACTGTGAGTGTCTCTACATCATTGACTGCAGCTGTTCAAGAAGACTGTTCTCTCATCACCTTCTCAATGGGCATTTAGGATGCACAACAAATGCTGGCCTTTCTATCAAGTCCCACATCCCATTAAAAAGTAAAAACAAAACAAAAGGCCTGTATTTTAATTCTCAACATGTTGGGAAAAGATTGTCAGTGTACCGCATCAATTTTCAGACATAGGCCCCCAAAATGCCCGCTACCCATATGTTTGCTTGAAATCAGATTGTACGGAAGATTCTCTCGCCCTTGTTCCACATAACCCCCCCTTGTTTTCCTCTCCATCATTTACCTATTTATCATATTTCGTATTGTCTCTTTGTGCCTCCCCTTTCTCTCGTAAAATGATACAGCACGGAAGGAGGTTATTGAACCCTTGTACTTTCTTGCGGTATTTGACTGTTCTACCCCCATTCACTCCCTGTAGATCTGCAATTCAGATAGTGTTTGGATAAACAAAAAGAAATTGCAGGAAAAGCTCAGCAGGTCTGGCAGCATCTGTGGAGAGAAATCAGAATTAATATTTCAGGTTTGTGACCCTTCTTTCATTCTGAGGAGGGTGTCACTGGATCCAAGACTCTGATTTCTCTCCATTGATGCTGTTGCACCTGCTGAGCTTTTTCAGCAATTCCTATTTTTGTTTCTGATTTCCAGGATCCATAGTTCTCTTGGTTTTTATTTAGTGTTTGGATAGAATCTGAATGGGATAGAGGAGGAAAGAAATGTGGCATACAGAGATAAGTGATGAAAAGGTTAGTTAGAAAGAGGAGGCCATTAGTGAACCAGATGGTCTGAGAATCGGCAATGATTTTGTGGTCATCAGTAGATTCTTAATTCCAGATTTCTTTTTTGTTGAATTCAAATTCTGCTATCCCATGGCAGGCCATCTTTCAAAGACTATCTACCTGCTGTTTAAATTCTTTTGTGATCTAGCTTCCAGAACCTTCTTCAATATCCTCTGGGAGAAGAAATTCCTTTGCATATCAGTTTTAAGAGTGTCCCCTTATTCTGTAACTATGTTTCCTAATTCAAGACTCCCCCACTGTTAGAGTCATTGTATCAACATCTCCCCTGTCAAGCCCCTCAGAATTTGTATGTTTCATTAAGATCAGCTCTTGCTCTTTAAAACTCTAATGACCAATGCCACAAACAACAATAGAAATTGCTGGAGAAATTCAGGATTGGCAGCATCTACAGGAAGAAAACAGAGTTCATGTTTCAAATCTAATGACTGTTCTTTACAACTTGCTGTCCCACTTATATTTCTATCATCAGCAAGTTTGGATACAGTCTGCCTCCATGTCACTAATATGGACGGTAAATAATTGAGACTCTAGAACTGAGTCTACTACTAGTATTGTTATTTCAACCTGAAAAAGATTCCGTGATTCTGACTCTGTCTTCTGAGAGTAAACTAATTCTCAATCCATGTTAATACATTACCAACCACCACCCCAACCCACCCCTGCCATACCGTGAGCTCAGATCTCGTGCAATAACCTTTTGTATTGCACCTTAACGAGTGCCTTCTGGAAATCCAAATGCATTACACTTACTGGTTCCCCTTCATAAACTGTGCTCATGTTCTCAAAGAACTCTCGGAAATTTGTCAAACAAGATTTCCCTTTCACAAAGCTGTGTTAACTCTGATTGCATTAAGCTTTTCTAAACATCTTGCTCTCTCTTCCTTATTGACAGAGTCTAGCATTCTTCCAGCAGCAGACATTGACTCTAATTGGACTATAGTTTCCTGCATCCTGTCTGTCTCTCTCCTTGAACAGAAGTGACACATTAGTCATTTTCCATTGCACTAGAACCTGCCTGTGATCCACTGAGTTCTGGATTGTTTTGGCCAATGCCTCCACTATCTCTGGAGGCAGTTTCTTTAAAACATTCGGATGTGGGCCGTCAGGTCCTAGTGGTCAGCATCGCTCGGATTTTCTTTTCAGCTGCACAGACTTGTGAGTTCTATGTGTGGCAGTGACTCCTGAATCAGAAGTCAATGCCGTGATCAGCATTAGCGTACCCATTGCCATGTGCAGAACTTTGGACTGGCTGCACATGAGTACAGCCCAGCAGCTTAAAGAAGGAGCAATGCTGGAGTCTGCCGTTAGTCCTGTTAATTTGTCAAATATTTTATCTTTAATAGAGACTGTTACGAGATCTTTGCTCACATTAGCACCTCTCTTATCTTTGCAATATTTATAGTGTCCTTTGCCATGAGCACCAATGCAAGATATTGCTCTAAATGATCTACCATTTCCCAATTCTGTTATTAATTCCCTGGTTTCAACCTTTATGGGTCCCATGCTTGCTTCAGCTTTTATTTAGTAATACATTGGATATGGGTTTTGCTGGCTGGGCCAGCATTTATTGCCTGTCCCTAGTTGCCCTTGAAAGGTGGTGGTGGGCTGCCTTCTTGAACCGCTGCAGTCCATATGCTGTAGGTTGACCACAATGCCCTCAGGGAAGGAATTCCAGGATTTTGACCCAGCGAAGGAATGGCGATATATTTGCACGTCAGGATGTTGAGTGGCTGGAGGGGATCTTGCAGGTCATGGCATTCCAATGTCACTACTGTCCTTGACCTTGTAAATGGTAGAGGTTGTGTGTTTGGAACATGTTATCCAAGAAACCTGGGAGAATTTCTGCAGTGTATCTTGTAGGTAGCACACACTGCTGCTCCTGAATATCAATGGTCATAGTGGCAAAATACATCAAAATAAGATTAGAACTGACAGCATATGCATTTTTGGAAAGGCTGAACAGACTGAGATGTCTTTTTTTTTCTGTAGAGAATGCAGTGGAGTGACCTGATAAGAGTTCTATCAGTTTATGAAGGTTGTAATAGATTTCACAGAAGCCTGTTTTTCAGTATTTGCCACAACTGGAGTCTCCGAATTAGCTCATCCTTTGCTGTCAAGCAGCAATACTTTCATTTTATTGGTTTGAGTAAACTTGCACTTTTTTTTGCAGCAAGGTTGATCAGGAAATTATAAAAGTTCTTCAGGAACGTCTGAGGGCCTGTCAGCAGAGAGAAGGAAATAGCTACATACAGAATTGTGCTAAGGAGCTCGAACAATTCAAGCAGGGAGCGAAAGGCTACCAATCGAGATGTAAGTCATACCTGCAGACTGGTTATTTGTGTAATGTTCTGATCAGTTTAATGTGCTGTAAAGAAAATAGAATTGCATCTTTTCTAATAAAACTCCTTTTAAGCGCTTGGTCATGTTTTTGAGTGCTTTGTTTCTGTGTGAATTTTGAAATGATCCTCACAATTTACTGATGTATATCAACTTGTACATTTAGAGGTGGCATTGACATAGATCATGATTGTGTTGAGTACTGGGAAAAAAATGCTGTGTAAAAATGGAAAGAACTGTGGATGCTATAAATCAGAAACAAAAACAGAAGTTGCTGGAAAAGCTCACCAAGCCTGGCAGCATCTGTGAAGAGAAATCAAAATTAGCATTTCAGGTCCGGTGACCCTTCCTCAGAACTGATGGTAGCAAGGGACATGTCGGTTTATGTGCAGAAGATAGGGTGAGGGGAAGGGCCAAGGAGTAAACGATAAGTAGGGATAGAGCCCAAAGAGAAAAGAGCAGTTGGACAGACAAAGGAGTCGATAACGATCTGGCTGGGAGGGTGAATAGCTGTTAAGGGAGATGTTAGTGGCTAACAATAAGTAGCGTGTAATGGCAGACTATGTGATAACAATGCTGGGTGTGTGGGGTAGACAGCTAGGACATGGGGGAAGTTCAGTTCCTAAAATTATTGAACTCGATATTGCGTACAGAGGGCTGCAGGGTCTCCATGCAGAAAACGAGGTGTTGTTCTTCCAGCTTGCACTGAGCTTTGCTGCAGAAAGCCTGATACAGAGATGTTGGCCAGGGAACAGGGTGGTATGTTAAAGCGGCAGACAACTGGAAGGTCAGTGTCTTTTTCACTGACAGAACGTAGATGTTCTGTGAAGCGGGTACCCAGTCTATGCTTCATTTCCCCCATGTAGAGGAGATCACATTGTGAGCAGCAAATGCAGTAGACTAGATTGTGGGAAGTGCAAGTGAAGTGTTGCTTCACCTGGAAGGTATGTTTGGGCCCTTGGATGCTGTGGAGGGAGGAGGTAAATGGACAGGTGTTACACCTTTGGCAGTTGCTGAGGAAGGTGCTGTGGTGGGGTTGTTGGGAGCAAAGACAGTGTGGACCACGGTGTCCCAGAGGGAACGGTCCCTGCAGAAGGCGGACAAGGGAGAGGAGGGGAATATGTGTCTGGTGGTGGCATCTTGCTGGAGGTGGTGGAAATGGTATCTGATGATCTTCTGGAGGTGGATGCTGGTGGGATGGTAGCTAAGGATAAGGGGAACCCTATCGCTGTTGCGGGAGGGAAGAGAAGGGGTGAGGGCGGAAGCGTGGGAGATGGGTCAGACTCAGTTGAGTGCCCTGTCAACAACAGTGCTGGGAAATCCTTGGTTGAGGAAGAGGGTGGACATTTCAGAGATTCCCTTGTTGAAGTTGGCCTCATCGGAACATGTGCGATGAAGATGGAGGAACTAGGAGGATGGAATAGACTCTTTACAGGAAACAGTGTGCAAGGACATATAGTCCAGGTAGTGGGTTTATAGTGGATATTAGTGGCCAGTCTATCCCCAGAAATGGAAACAGATATCGAGGAAGGGAAGGGAGGAGTCAGAGATAGACCAGGTGAAAGTGAGGGCAGATTGGAAATTGGAAGCAAAATTGATGAACTTTTCCAATTCCAGACGAGAGAAGGAAGCAGCACCGATGATATCATCGATATATCGGAGAAAGAGTTGTGGGTGGGAGCCAGAATAAGACTGGAACAAGGAATGTTCCATATTCCCCATGAAGAGACTGGCATAACTGGGGCCCATGCGGGTACCCTTGGCCATCCCTCTGACCTGAAGAAAATGAGAGGGGTTAAAAGAGAAGTTGTTGAGGGTGAGGATGAGCTGGGCCAAGCAGAGGAGGGTGGCGTTGGGTGGGGACGGTTCAGGCCTTTGCTCCAGGAAGAAGCGGAGAGCCCTGAGACCAACCTGGTGAGGGGTGGACATGTCAAGGGATTGCATATCCACAGTAAAGAGGAGGCAACTGGAAATTCTGAAACTGGCATTAAAGCATCAGACGAATCATCAATGTATGTGGGCAGGGACTGGACCAAGGGAGAAAAGACTGAGTCAAGTTAGAAAGAGACGAGTTGTGTGGGGCAGGAGCAGGCTGAAACAATGGGTTTGCCCGGGCAGTTGTGTTTGTGGATTTTCGGAAGGAGGTAGTAGTGACCCGTGTGGGGCTGGGGGACTGTCAGTTTGGAGCCACTGGTTGGGGGGACATTACCAGATGAAATGAGCTTAGTGACTGTAATTGATACAATGGCCTGATGCATCATGGTGGGGTCATGGTCCAGGAGAAGATAGGAGGAGGTGTCTGAGAGCTGGTGCTCAGCCTCTGCAATGTAGAGTTCAATACACCAGACAACTACAGGGCCACCCTTATTGGTGGGCTTAATAACAAAGTCAGGTTGGATATAAGCACATGGAGTGTAGTCAGTTCAGAGGGAGATAGGTTGGATTGGGTGAGTTGGGGGTGGGGGTGGGGGTAGGTGCGGAGAAATTGAGGCAACCAGTGTCACGTTGACAGTTGTCAGTGAACCGATCGAGCGTGGGTAAAAGGCCAGAGGGAGTGGTCCAGGTGGAGGGAGAGTGTTGGAGCTGTGAAAAGCTGTAATTAGTTTGCTCTCAGTGAACCTCGACTGTGATATCATTTAAGAATAACCTGAAAAGTGGACAGTTCTAGAGTCTTCCAGTTAATGGTTTATATTTCTGTAGTTGTGTGAATTGAAGAAAACATTCACATACATTCCAGAGGTCCATTTGCTATACCTTGGTTGGCTGTAGTCTTGTGTCAGAGTCTGAATGTTCTGGCTTGCACCTCGAATTGAGCACAATAATCTAGTCTGACACTCCAGTGCAATTCTAAGTGAGTGCTGCATTATCAGAGGTTCTGTCTTCTGGCTAAGATATAAAATTGAGTCCCATCTTCCTCCTCCATCCAGATAAATGTGAAAATCCAAGGGCAGTGTATCAAAAAGGAGCACAGGAGTTCTGTCTCGTGTCCAGAGGATTTGCTGCTGAATTTACATCACAAAAAAATTATCTAGTTATTCTAAGAGTGCTGCATGTGGGAGCCTGTTGTGAAAGCTAGCTGCTATGTCTCCTTCATGGAAGGCTCAACAGAAATGTTGTATTTCTTAATAAGGACATCTTTTGGTGAACAAAAACATGGGATGCTGTTGTACAAAATCACATTGAGGTGGATGAACTTTGAAGTTGATTTACTGTCTATTTACTGCTTTTCTTTTTGCAGATGGTGACCTGGGGGCTTATGCTAGTGGCAGAAAGTGTCTAATGAAACAGAAACATCGAATGATTGAGGAGAGGGAGAAGGCAGCATCTGAAGCATGAACAGCTCCACCAGAAGTGATGTTTTTTCAAACTGTCAACAAAATGTATAGTCTGAATGTTTAACTTGTTAAAAATACTACATTTCACATGAATGTGACTCAAGTCTACGTACCCTTATAAAACAAAATGCCATAAACCTATAATCTGTTTTTGTCCTTCCTTGGTGCTTGCTGGCTAAAACACAATAAGTTCTGATAGCTTTGTTAGTTAAAAACCTTGCTGTATTGTCCACAGCTACAAGCCACCATATTTAATGTGTTAAAAGATGTCAAGATGTGAGGGCTAAGAATAGCTCCTTTGTGTCTTAGGGGGAAAAAGAGATGATGTAGTCATAATGTCAGTGGATTAGCAATCCAGATTCCAGACCTTTGAGACATGGGTTCAAATCCCACCTTGACAGTTCATGGAATTTACATTTAATAAGTAAAAATCTGTAATAGTGACCGTGAATCTATCCTATAAGAAACCTAAAACAGTTTTGAAGAAGGGTCACTGAACTTGAAACATTAACCCTTTCTTTGTTCACAAATGCTGCCAAACCTGCAGAGTTTCAAAAGCAATTTCTGTTTTGGTTTCAGATTATTAAAAACCTAGATGGTTTGCTAATGTCATTTGAGGAAGTAAATCTGCTGACTTGGTCTGACTACATGGTTGACTCTTAACTGGTGTCTGAAATGGCTGAGCAGACCAATTCAACAACAGTTACGATGGGAAACAAATGCAGTCCTTTTCAGTGAAGAATGAAAACAGAGGGAAACAGAGATCAAATCACATCAAATGCAGGAATTCACAAGAATCGTACTGGTCATAGATTCAACAACATAAAACATTCAGTCTGTCATAGCTGTGCAAGCTTTGTTGTAGAGCTATCCAATTAGTTCGACTCTCCATTGCTCTTCAAAGAAAGAAAACTTTTCAACTATTCTTCAGATTCAATATTTTTCAAAATTGAACTGTCTCCTCTACTCTTTCATACAGTGCGGGACTCATGTTGCTTCCTCAGAATCCCTACAGTGCAGTTGGAAGCCATTTGGCCCATCAAGTCTGCAACGATCCACCAAAGAGCATCCCACCCAGATTCATTCCCCACTCCGTGCTCATAACTCTGCGTTTACCTTGACTAATCCACCTGGCCCGAACATCCTTGGACATTACAGGGTAAGTTAGCATAGCTGGGCCGATTCACCTAATCTGCACATTTTTTCACAGAGAGGGAGGAATCTGGAGCACCTGGCAGAAATCTACACAGATGCAGGGAGAACATGCAAACTTCACACAGATACCAGTGGTTAGAATCAAACCTGAGTCCCTGGTTCTGAGAGGCAGCAGTGCTAACCACTGTGCCATCCTGAATGTTTTTATACATCTCTGGAACAGGTGGGACTTGAACCTAGGCCTCCCATCTCAAAGTAAGGATATTACCACTGCATAAGCATCCCTGTCTGTCCCTCTTGGTATTGACCGTTTTGCGGGTGGAAACAGTTTTTCCTGGCTTTAACAAAACCATTATGATTCAGGGTACTTCTCTCAACTCCAACTTCTCCAGATGACGAAGTTCCTTCTCTCTCTTACCATTGTAATCAGCTCTGCACCCTCCTAGAATTGAATATTCTTCTGTGATATAATTGATAGCGGACACAATACTCCCAACAGAACCCTAAACCTTGTGCTTGTATTTCACCTCCATTGATTAAAATAGGTTCCAATACTTTTTGAACAGCTTTTTCAACTCATCCTGCTTACAAAACTGTACTCAGTCCTAAGACTATCCGTGCCTGTGTACACTACAACTTTTAATGTGCCTTTAATTTGGGCATCCCAGGGCACTTTACAGGCACGTGTAACCAAGAAAGCTTCTAAAATTAACTTAGATGATATCCTCTTTTCTACGATCAAAGTGGGTGCATTAAATTTCACATGCATTTTCTTAATTCACTATCTTCATCAATGACCTACCCTTTATGTTTGCTAATGATTGTGCAATGTCCTGCACCAATGGCAACTTAATCATAGATTGTCAGATGCTGAAGCAGTCCAGATGTTATTGTATTTGGACATGAATGATATCCAGGCCTGGGCTGACAAGTGGTAAGTAACATTTACACCACACAATAATGACCCTCTTCAAGAAAATTTAACCATCACCACTGTTGACATTCAATTGCATCACCATTACTGAACACCCACTATGAACAGCCTGAGAGATTACCATTAATCAGAAACTGAACTTGACTGCAAGTACAGTGACTACAAGAGCAGTTCAGAGGTTAGGAATACTGCAAGTGACTCACTTTCGGCCTCCCCTAAGCCAGGCGTGTAATGCTGAGATGAGCGCATTCCAACAATTCAAAGTATAACACCAACCAGGACAAAACAGCCTGCTTGATTGATTGTGCCATATCTACTTCCTCTACCACTGACACAATAGCAACAGCATCTACCATCTATAAGATGCACTACAGAATATCACCAAGGCTCCTTTGCATCACCTTCCCAATTCACAACCGCAACCCCCTCCCCAACCATCTAGAAGAACATGAGAAGCGTGTACATGGGAACATCACCATCTGCAAGTTCCAATTTTGAATAGCTAAGCTTCTTCAAATGTCAGTGGTCTGAAAAATGGCAGATGAAGTTCAATCTGGATAAATGCAAGGTATTGCATTTTGTACAAGGGTAGGGCTTATACCATTAATGGTAGGGCCTTGCATAGTGTTGTAGAAGAGGGACCTTGGGGTGCAGATGCATAATACTTTTAAGTTTGCGTCACAGACAGGGTTGTTAAAAAGGTATTTAGCACACTTGTCTTCACCACTCAGTCCTTTTGAGTACAAGACATCGATGAGGCCTCTTCTGGAATACGGTGTCCAGTTCTGGTTGACAAGTTATAGGAACGATATTATTAAGCTGGAGAGGGTTCAGAATGAGATTTACCAGGATGTTGCAGAGTATGGAAGATTTGAGTTACAAAATAAAGCTGGATAGACTGGGACTTTTTTGACTGAAGCATAGGAGGTTGAGAGGCAACCTTATAGAAGTCTATAAAATAATGAGGGATATAGATAATGAATGGTAGTTGTCTTTTGCCTAGGATGGAGGATTTCAAGTCTAGTGGGCACATTTTTAACGTGACAGAAGAGATGTAAAAAAATGGGAGAATTTTTTTTTTAAAAACAGACTATGGTTTGCATGTGGAACGAGCTTCTGATGGAAGTGGTGGATGTGGATACAACTACAACATTTAAATTTGGATAGGCACATGAATAGGAAAGGTTTGGAGGGATATGGGCCAGGAGCAAGGAGGTGGGAGGTGAGCAGGGACCTTTTTTCTGAAGAAGGGTCTAGGCCCGAAACGTCAGCTTTCCTGCTCGGCCTGCTGTGTTCATCCAGCTCTACACCTTGTTATCTCTATTATAGCAGGGAGGTGGAACTAGTTTAGGTTGGAATTATATTCAGCATGGACTGGTTGAAGCTAAGGGTAAATGCTGTATGGCTCTATAACAGTTCTCTTAATATTGACTCCTAAGTAACACCACTGAATGGCCGATTTAGAAAAGCAATCATTTGCTATCCATCACCGATAATTGCTATTTCCATTTGTCTGTTGATTTTTGCATCTACGCTGGCAATAATCCAGTGTGCCCTAATTACTGAAGGCATTTTGCATTCCAAATTAGCATACAGGTAGCAGAGTTTACATGATGTAAGGTTGCAGAGAAAAGATCAATTATTTCACAAACACCTGGGTGAAGATTTCAGATGAGCTGAGGCAGAAATGAAAGGAAGTGACCAAAAAGCTATATACAAGTGATTAATATTTGTATACTACAGCAGAGGATAATGAAGCACAGATTATATGATGGCAATCAATGATTATTTTCTAAGAGAGTTAAAGTTTAGTTTAAATTAGGAAAATATCACTGCAGTTAATCATTAAGATTAAGAATTTTCAGGCCAAACAATGCAGCAACTTTCAGTAGTCACATTTACGTCATTTTAAATACACCCCAAAACAACAATCACAGCGAACACAAGATTATGCAACAGATTTTTATTTCATTCTTTGCATAAAAATGCTTTATGTTGCTGGAGCAACAGCCGACTGGGACCTTTGAACAGACACACGGGTGTGGGTCTTGGCCAGGTGATCTGTGAATTCCTAAAACGAAATAAGGAGAAAGAACTTCAGAACAAGCTCTGAAATACATAATACAAAATGTACATTTTAATAACTGGGTAACAGGACAGTGGCATAGCATATATATTAATTATCTAGGTCAGAGATTCTCACCCTGGAATCTAAATGCCTTATAAGGTCTACCAAAACAAGCAATTAGAAAAAAATGAACTGATTGAACAAACTCCATGCACAAGTCTTTTCACTTGAATAGTCTCTCAACTCCACTTCAGCACACCTGATTGGCTAGTTTCCAGCTCAGTTCTAAATGATTGGGCAGAAGCATCTGCCATTCAGCGTAGTGGACTTTCATTGAGGACCTACTGGAGCAACAGACTGGCCCACAGCAATAATCATATTCTTACTTACAGGTCTTTAATCAGATCTCAGGAAATCAGGTAGAGGGTACGATAATAATGGAAGATCAAGCAAAATTCAAACAAACTTAAATTCTACTGCAAAGGTTTCAAAATTGTAGAAACAAAAAGACATATTTTTTCCTGAAGGTGAACATTTTCCAAGTCAGTTCAGCTCACTGATACTTTAGTCAAACCAGTGTGGCCACATAGCAGTCTAGAAGGGCCATGCAGACCTCATCTGCTGTTAAATGTGGCACAATGACAAAAACGGCCACACACAAATGAAATTTTACAGAAAACTGCAGATGATGCCTTATGATATAGTCACAGCAGATTTAAGCAGATTTGTTTTGTCTATTCAGGATGTTTGTGTATGCTTGTGTAAAAACCTTTCTCCCAATAAGCAATGTCACGAATGCATCAACCTCAGTTGTACATCACTCCCAACATCAAAATTTGACACAACATCACTGTACTTGTAACCAAAGATTGAGTATGTGTATGGAGGGGAGGAGACACGATTGCCCTCGATGAACAGAAGGCACAGCCACCAGTGGTAGTGCTATGAAAATCTACGGGAGCGCAGAGATCTTGGACAGTTTAT